AGTAGTAGTAGCTGTAGTAGTACTAGGGTTACGTAGTAGGAGGAGGAGCAGGAAGAGGAGGAGGGGTACTATCAGGTCTGGTCCGACAGCCCGCCTGAATCAAAGCCCCGGCCACATCAACGCTGCCCTCCACTGAGGCGTAGAGCAGTGGCGTTGCACCGTGCTCGTTCCTGAAAAGCTGCGCGCTGCTGCAAGGTGCCATCATTTGGATTGCTACGAAGATCCGAGCATCACGATATGCCACGTCCAGCCTGGCGAAGATGTCGGCCCCATGAGCGATGAGTTGGAGAGCAGCCTTTCATGGGACAGAGATATGACTTTCGCAGGTTCTGGCATGCTGCAAGATCAACGGGATCTGCCTCGGAATGCCCATACATGCAAGCCGCGAGCAAGGGAGTGTTGTCCCACATTCCAAGAACCTGTGCGAGGAATCCTCACGGGTCCATGATATCTCCTTCCTGTTTGCGGCGTGCCTCCAAATTGCATTCTGGTGACTGTAGGAGTTCGTCCAATGACATCAAATCGTTTGCTTTTATGGCCTCAGCTCAACAATGACAATCACATGCCTGCCATGCAGGAGTGTACGTGCACGCAGTGCACGCACCGACGCATGTTTGTGAGCCTTGATCAACGTCATGGGCTTTGCCTTGGGCTTCGCTCTTGGAACGGCCTGAAGCACGACCAGAAAGGGAAGGCTGCTCGATGGCACGGAGTTGACAATGTGACAATGCCTGGTTAGCAGTCTCGACATTCCCGGCAGGCTCGGGCCTCTCATTTGCGCCCCTGATATTTGCAGACCGGCACTGGAGATGGCCTGATTGTCGGCTCTGGGTTTCTCGGTGCTTCAACCTGGCCACATGCTTATCCCAGGTTGCAACCACGCCGAGTCACGAACAATAAACATGTTGAGCACTTCGGCCTCCAGGTGTGCGGTGATTGGCCCATCTGCCCGTGCAGAACCCGATGATGGCAATGGTGATGGTGCACTTGGTGCATGTTCACAGATCGTCCGCACTTAGTAAATCTTAGTAGTGGGTACACGCTCTGACCCATAGCTACAACACAAGCGCAGGTCTCTGGCCCGGTGTTCGAAGGAACCACAACTGCAGATGGATGTACCTATCGGCCAGTTACCCGCAAGGTTCGTATACCATGCAATGCTGCGAAAACGCGATTGCTTCAGTGCACCTTGGCTCCAGCACGACTTGTCGAGCAACCCATTCCATGTGCTGCCGACTAGGTCTGAGCCTTGTAGAAGTCCATTTGTCTGCACAATGCTATGAAGCTCTCTGATGATCATTACTGTCATGTCAGCTGAATGTCCAGATGTCCAGATATTGCTTGCACTTACTCTATGGAATTTGTTGTTTACAGAGAGGCTCCCTTGCCTTGTCTGGGTTCCAAGAGCACTACGGCCCAAACATGCAGCAAGAAAGGACATGGCCGGATTGATTTGCATTTAAGAGTACATGCAGCTTCTAACTCGCGTAATTACTTTACCAGGTCGTTGCGGGGATAAGTGCTGCAGGGCCAAGGCGGAGGAATTACACCGTCGTAAGATGTCGCAAGTGTGCTCGCACGAGATGGAGAGTGTGTGTCTTCGTTGAGCCACGGCCCCTTGGTCCACAGAACGGCTTTGATCCCACCACGATGCAACTCAACGATGTGTGATTGAAGCTCAGACTCGGGCCGTCCCTACTGGTGCCCACACATTTGCGTGCTTTTGCTTCGCATCCGGGCTTGGGGGGTTAGCCGGCAAAGTTACACAGGCAAGTATACAGGAAGCACTTCAACTCATGGCTTTCACAAGTGAGTGCAGATCAAAGCATGCCACGAAATTGTTGCAAGCTCATGCCACGGCTTTGTTGAGGCGGTTCACTTATTCGGTCTTCTCTCGCGGCGCGCTAGTCTTTTCGTGCTTGCTTTCGATCGCTAGCTGGGGTTGGTTGAATACCGATGGCAATTCAGTAGAGCTCTTCAGTCGTTGATCTTGATATGCCAGGCAAGCTCTTGCTAAGTGAGCTTTTTGCTGCAGATGTCGTCATTGACTGGTCATGCATCATGTCTTGACTTGTTGTTGAATGTTGTGTGCTTTTGCCTCTTGCTCTGCCAAGGCAGCGAGGCATTGGGTTGTTGTCTATGTTATGGCATGTTGTGATGATGAATTTGATGGTTTCCATATTCTGAGCAGCACACTAAGTCAGTAAGTTGACAGAAGTATTGATACACAGACCGATCGGCAGATCCGGGCTTCGTTCGATCATGTCCGATCTGTCTGGCAGGCGTATCATGCAGAAGTAGCGGGATGCATGTCCCGAGCTTGCCGGCAGGGCCGCTTTTGCTGAATAGGAGCCATGGGGCCATGGCATGAGAAGTTTGTGTCTTTGCTTTAGGGATCCGTGTCAAGAAACAAGATACTACCAAACCCGAAAAGAACAACGGTACATGTAGTGACTTATAGTGACTTGCTAACCACAACAGCATAGCTTTCAGTAGGCCTGCAGTTCATCGTGCTTGGATGCACAGCACTTTTTTTTTGGCTCCATGCACTGCTGGACATGTCTCTTCAGGTCCGCTGCGCCGCTTGTCGCCACTTTTCCGTGGGGGGGAATGTGCTCCACATCATGAAGCATGTTGCAGTTGCTCCCGGCCAGATCTTGACGTTCACGCTGAGATCAGCTGTCAGCCTCCATTCCCTGTGCAACCCGCCGTGGCCCTTTTATTCTTGCAGCCATGCTTGCCCCATGACAACATCGTTCACCTCATGCGAGACATTGCGCACGACGCAGGCCATCAGACGGCTGGAACGGAATGCTTGATTCATATTGGTTCTGACTTCTGGCTTTCATGCCCCCGGTGCTGAGCATCTGACCGGCGAGGAGTCTTCGCTGCGGCGGTTTGTCCACTCTTGCAGGGGGCAGTTCTGGCCATGATGTTCTTCACCAGCCGTCACCTCTTTGCATGAAGCCATACTCTGAGAGTACTCGTACCGTGCACGTCTGCAAGAGAAACGGAATTCAACGAAGGCGTCTCAATCTGAGCTGCATGCAAGACAACGAGACCCACGACTTGAATGTAGCCGATGCACCCTGCGCGTCCTGCGCCACTGTCAGCCGGAGTGCCAATTGCAGCATTTGTGACAAACACGCAGAGAGTGGGTCCTTATGCCAGCATGCTCATGAAGCTTCGCCACTGGCCGATTTTCCGCCGCGAAGCTTCCTGGGCATGATTAACCCCTGGCAAGCAACGGTTGTCAGAGATCTCGGCTTCCATGTGTGACGCTGCCGCATGGGATGAAATGTTCGAGGTTTGGAGCAAAGCAACCGTCCGAAGGTCGGGAAGCCGGCCCGGCCGAGCCAAAAGGCGGCCCTCGGTGACCGTGGCCACCTCCAAGCGACAAAGACTCTGACTCGTCTGACACGATTCGGCTGCCGTCAGCTTGCAATGCATGCACAGCGCACTGCGCCTGTACTGCCGCGTCGCTTCCGAACTTGGCTTCCAATGCTTTGCGGGATGCCAAAACCCAAGTGATTGCCTGGCGGCAACAACATCTGCTTAAGGAGACGTACTTTGAAAAGCCACCTGCACGAGGGCCAATGCAGAAGCGGCGAAGGGGTTCAGCTCGACACCAAATGTCACCGCAGCAGACACGGCTATCGTGGCTGCCTCATTTATGCGGTGGCTCACCCAAAAGTTTGCATCAGGTCACCCGACTCTTCTTCTGAATTGGGACATGTCCATGTTGAAGAGCGTGCCCAGAACAACACTCGAAGTTCTTGGAAGAAGAACTGCTGTTTGATTGTGGTAGCGGTTGAATGCTCACTGAGTGTTCGCATTTACGTTTTGCTACCAAATTCCATCTCCTAGTCCGTGCAACGATGTGTAATCTTCGCGGTTTTCGGTTTTCACGTCGAAAATGTGTATTGGATGATATGGCATTGGCCGGTCCTGCAGGATGCCCTGTTCTGACGAACTGACAAGACTGAGACGACACCGGCTGGTTGCTTACATCATCGCCAGTGATTCGATTTTTGTCAGTGTTCGCTGGATGTCCAATATTTCGTTAACTGAACTGGGGTGCGTGCGAACCACTTTGTTCGAGCAGTTCCGGGAGGCCCTGTATGGCAATGTGGCTGCTGGGAAAGTGCTGAAAACTCGAGGCACCCCGCTTATGCAACGAGGAAATGCCCGCTCGAACAAAAATGGTTTCCTTCCTTCCTTCCTTCCTAAAAGAAAGAGTCAAAAAGAGTCTGACTATCGCGAAACCGGCGCCGTAGTTGGTTTAGTAGGCAAGAGGCTTTGGGGTCGTCCCTGAATGTCCTCGCCCGCTTTAGGTTAAGGGGCAACTGGTGAGTGGCTGGTTGTTGTTGAAAAAGGGGCTCTCTCTTTTCCTTGCCCGGGGTTAAAAACGGAGGAGCGACCTCCTTTCTGTCTTGCTTGCTAACTGCTCGGTGTGACATTTGACGCCCCCCGCTTTTTACTGACACCGTTAGACCGTTAAGCCACACATCAACACTTTACTATGCCTCGACCCCCGAATCAAACCGAACCTTGCACCTTACTTACCTGCCTGGCCTTTCCCCCGCCCTGAAGCCTACAAACAGACTGCGGGCGAACGATAAAAAAGCAACGACTTCAGAACGGACTGGGTTATCCTGGCTGTGCACTCTGAGGCCGCTGCTGCAGGAGAGATTCGTTTCGTTGTCTCTCTCTCTCTCTCTCTTGCTTGCTTGCTTGCGTGACGTTT